CATTTTCATCCTCAACGAGAATATTACCTTGCACCTTTTCATTACTTCATAGCCTTTCACCATATAACAACAAAACAGAGACACCCTTCCTGTTGCTTTATTTTCATGTGCGCAGAACTGATTACAGTGCAAGTGGCTAGACTTTAGTCTGTTGATCTGCTATTAAAATTAAGACTCACAATATATGGAAACTGAACGAAATCTTTTTTTTTAAAATCCTAACAGGTTATAAACCAAAAAGCTGGCGATATCATAAGCGTTGCTGAGTCAATTGCCCTTGGTAAGTACATTAGTTTCATTCATATTTTTATAACGTACGTTATGAGAAGATATCCTGTCCTAATGCACATATGAATTACTAGGGGAATAAATATTCAGTGGACGTCCCGGTTGGTTGACGAGAATCAATAGGCAGGTGTTGAGTATGTTTATTTAAATTCACGTTACATATTACCTTTCTTTCAAGCTCTACTGTGTAGCCACTTGTTTCTTAAAATTTCACTGGGCCAGCGAGTTTGACAGGAGTAGAATTAGAAAGTAGCTTCATACCGTTTCTTAACTCTAAATCACGTGTGAAAATGTGAAACACAGCCATGTTGATTCTTTGTTGACATACTGTCAAATACAACTGAGCGTGACAGAGGGTGAGTTCGAATGTTGTTTGAACTTTTCTATTTCATTTTACACTTGAATAGTAGTTTAATTTTTAGGTTTATAAACTAGTTTCTTGAGTGTTCACAGAAGACGTTATACCTTGAGCGCTTTGCGAAACTACCTTGATATGGGTTAAATAGGAATCAGGCATCGTAATAACATGGTGGGATTTATATTGTCTTCTGAGAGACCGGACCAGCGCTCGATTTCTGCTTCTTACCACCCATTTTTACCATTTTTTGGGCAAACCTTTTGGACAATGTTAACTGTCGATCATTATAGCAAGCCAATCAATCCAAACTACTGAAGGGACTTTGAACATGGTAAAATGCTTGAGATATTTACCTGTATTGTAAGAGAAGGTAAAGGGTAAGAGAGTTTATTCCTTATATAAGCCTTAATCCTAAGCCAATCCCTCTTAAGTTATGTTTAGAACACTTCCAGCCTCGGAAATCTAAGGAGGATTGATAAGTTTGTTCATGTGGAAGAGCCCAGGTGGCTTTGCACATTTTCATCCTCAACGAGAATATTAATAAACCGCGTGGTAACATCTTCCGCGGACGAACAGGGTAACTTGTTTAAGAAAAACTTGGGAAGGATAACCTTGCACCTTTTCATTACTTCATAGCCTTTCACCATATAACAACAAAACAGAGACACCCTTCCTGTTGCTTTATTTTCATGTGCGCAGAACTGATTACAGTGCAAGTGGCTAGACTTTAGTCTGTTGATCTGCTATTAAAATTAAGACTCACAATATATGGAAACTGAACGAAATCTTTTTTTTTAAAATCCTAACAGGTTATAAACCAAAAAGCTGGCGATATCATAAGCGTTGCTGAGTCAATTGCCCTTGGTAAGTACATTAGTTTCATTCATATTTTTATAACGTACGTTATGAGAAGATATCCTGTCCTAATGCACATATGAATTACTAGGGGAATAAATATTCAGTGGACGTCCCGGTTGGTTGACGAGAATCAATAGGCAGGTGTTGAGTATGTTTATTTAAATTCACGTTACATATTACCTTTCTTTCAAGCTCTACTGTGTAGCCACTTGTTTCTTAAAATTTCACTGGGCCAGCGAGTTTGACAGGAGTAGAATTAGAAAGTAGCTTCATACCGTTTCTTAACTCTAAATCACGTGTGAAAATGTGAAACACAGCCATGTTGATTCTTTGTTGACATACTGTCAAATACAACTGAGCGTGACAGAGGGTGAGTTCGAATGTTGTTTGAACTTTTCTATTTCATTTTACACTTGAATAGTAGTTTAATTTTTAGGTTTATAAACTAGTTTCTTGAGTGTTCACAGAAGACGTTATACCTTGAGCGCTTTGCGAAACTACCTTGATATGGGTTAAATAGGAATCAGGCATCGTAATAACATGGTGGGATTTATATTGTCTTCTGAGAGACCGGACCAGCGCTCGATTTCTGCTTCTTACCACCCATTTTTACCATTTTTTGGGCAAACCTTTTGGACAATGTTAACTGTCGATCATTATAGCAAGCCAATCAATCCAAACTACTGAAGGGACTTTGAACATGGTAAAATGCTTGAGATATTTACCTGTATTGTAAGAGAAGGTAAAGGGTAAGAGAATTTATTCCTTATATAAGCCTTAATCCTAAGCCAATCCCTCTTAAGTTATGTTTAGAACACTTCCAGCCTCGGAAATCTAAGGAGGATTGATAAGTTTGTTCATGTGGAAGAGCCCAGGTGGCTTTGCACATTTTCATCCTCAACGAGAATATTAATAAACCGCGTGGTAACATCTTCCGCGGACGAACAGGGTAACTTGTTTAAGAAAAACTTGGGAAGGATAACCTTGCACCTTTTCATTACTTCATAGCCTTTCACCATATAACAACAAAACAGAGACACCCTTCCTGTTGCTTTATTTTCATGTGCGCAGAACTGATTACAGTGCAAGTGGCTAGACTTTAGTCTGTTGATCTGCTATTAAAATTAAGACTCACAATATATGGAAACTGAACGAAATCTTTTTTTTTAAAATCCTAACAGGTTATAAACCAAAAAGCTGGCGATATCATAAGCGTTGCTGAGTCAATTGCCCTTGGTAAGTACATTAGTTTCATTCATATTTTTATAACGTACGTTATGAGAAGATATCCTGTCCTAATGCACATATGAATTACTAGGGGAATAAATATTCAGTGGACGTCCCGGTTGGTTGACGAGAATCAATAGGCAGGTGTTGAGTATGTTTATTTAAATTCACGTTACATATTACCTTTCTTTCAAGCTCTACTGTGTAGCCACTTGTTTCTTAAAATTTCACTGGGCCAGCGAGTTTGACAGGAGTAGAATTAGAAAGTAGCTTCATACCGTTTCTTAACTCTAAATCACGTGTGAAAATGTGAAACACAGCCATGTTGATTCTTTGTTGACATACTGTCAAATACAACTGAGCGTGACAGAGGGTGAGTTCGAATGTTGTTTGAACTTTTCTATTTCATTTTACACTTGAATAGTAGTTTAATTTTTAGGTTTATAAACTAGTTTCTTGAGTGTTCACAGAAGACGTTATACCTTGAGCGCTTTGCGAAACTACCTTGATATGGGTTAAATAGGAATCAGGCATCGTAATAACATGGTGGGATTTATATTGTCTTCTGAGAGACCGGACCAGCGCTCGATTTCTGCTTCTTACCACCCATTTTTACCATTTTTTGGGCAAACCTTTTGGACAATGTTAACTGTCGATCATTATAGCAAGCCAATCAATCCAAACTACTGAAGGGACTTTGAACATGGTAAAATGCTTGAGATATTTACCTGTATTGTAAGAGAAGGTAAAGGGTAAGAGAATTTATTCCTTATATAAGCCTTAATCCTAAGCCAATCCCTCTTAAGTTATGTTTAGAACACTTCCAGCCTCGGAAATCTAAGGAGGATTGATAAGTTTGTTCATGTGGAAGAGCCCAGGTGGCTTTGCACATTTTCATCCTCAACGAGAATATTAATAAACCGCGTGGTAACATCTTCCGCGGACGAACAGGGTAACTTGTTTAAGAAAAACTTGGGAAGGATAACCTTGCACCTTTTCATTACTTCATAGCCTTTCACCATATAACAACAAAACAGAGACACCCTTCCTGTTGCTTTATTTTCATGTGCGCAGAACTGATTACAGTGCAAGTGGCTAGACTTTAGTCTGTTGATCTGCTATTAAAATTAAGACTCACAATATATGGAAACTGAACGAAATCTTTTTTTTTAAAATCCTAACAGGTTATAAACCAAAAAGCTGGCGATATCATAAGCGTTGCTGAGTCAATTGCCCTTGGTAAGTACATTAGTTTCATTCATATTTTTATAACGTACGTTATGAGAAGATATCCTGTCCTAATGCACATATGAATTACTAGGGGAATAAATATTCAGTGGACGTCCCGGTTGGTTGACGAGAATCAATAGGCAGGTGTTGAGTATGTTTATTTAAATTCACGTTACATATTACCTTTCTTTCAAGCTCTACTGTGTAGCCACTTGTTTCTTAAAATTTCACTGGGCCAGCGAGTTTGACAGGAGTAGAATTAGAAAGTAGCTTCATACCGTTTCTTAACTCTAAATCACGTGTGAAAATGTGAAACACAGCCATGTTGATTCTTTGTTGACATACTGTCAAATACAACTGAGCGTGACAGAGGGTGAGTTCGAATGTTGTTTGAACTTTTCTATTTCATTTTACACTTGAATAGTAGTTTAATTTTTAGGTTTATAAACTAGTTTCTTGAGTGTTCACAGAAGACGTTATACCTTGAGCGCTTTGCGAAACTACCTTGATATGGGTTAAATAGGAATCAGGCATCGTAATAACATGGTGGGATTTATATTGTCTTCTGAGAGACCGGACCAGCGCTCGATTTCTGCTTCTTACCACCCATTTTTACCATTTTTTGGGCAAACCTTTTGGACAATGTTAACTGTCGATCATTATAGCAAGCCAATCAATCCAAACTACTGAAGGGACTTTGAACATGGTAAAATGCTTGAGATATTTACCTGTATTGTAAGAGAAGGTAAAGGGTAAGAGAATTTATTCCTTATACAAGCCTTAATCCTAAGCCAATCCCTCTTAAGTTATGTTAGAACACTTCCAGCCTCAGAAATCTAAGGAGGATTGATAAGTTTGTTCATGTGGAAGAGCCCAGGTGGCTTTGCACATTTTCATCCTCAACGAGAATATAAATAAACCGCGTGGTAACATCTTCCGCGGACGAACAGGGTAACTTGTCTAAGAAAAACTTGGGAAGGATGACCTTGCACCTTTTCATTACTTCATAGACTTTCACCATATAACAACAAAACAGAGACACCCTTCCTGTTGCTTTATTTTCATGTGCGCAGAACTAATTACAGTGCAAGTGGCTAGACTTTAATCTGTTGATCTGCTATTAAAATTAAGACTCACAATATATGGAAACTGAACGAAATCTTTTTTTTTAAAATCCTAACAGGTTATAAACCAAAAAGCTGGCGATATCATAAGCGTTGCTGAGACCGGAAGTGAATCATGGACCACTCGTTCAGAACTCCACTGGCTACAGTCTGCAGGGGCGCAATCAGTTAGGACATCTGGTTCTATCTAGGAATAGGTTTCTATTGAGACACGTTCTTCTGTGTCACAAACGTGTATACCGGTAACTGTTTCAACTTAAAATGAAAGTAGACCAGGTCTCTTCTATAGCTGTTTCTTCTCAATTAAGGTAAAAGTTATACATAAAGGTAAGCAGTGTGTGTAGGTATGTTTCACAAGTCTATCCTTACGAGAAAACGTTTTATTTCAATATGAATCAGTGTTTCTCTGATGAGCATTCTGGTCCCTCATTACATGGAGCCACCCAGCTCTTGATCCAGGCAGCCGCTCCTAGACCAGCTGAGAAAACGCCAACTGTTGCCTTAGCGCCCAATCCAGCTGCTCCAGCGCTTTGAAGTGCTGCGAATGCACTTGACGAAGCCACAGTGCCACCATATACCGCAGACTGGATGCTGGCCGCAACTGAGCCTGCGGCTACACCTGCAGCTGTGAAACCCATCCAGGTCAAGGCGAATGGAGCTGCAGCTAGGGCTACAGTGCCTCCCACTATACCAACTGTCGCATAGTCTTTAAAGCACCAATCATCTCCCTGGCCATTCTTAGTCTTAGCTGAAATAATAAACATTGTAGCGCTATATTACATTTAAAGTTCACACTGTTGCTCTAGAACTGAAATCAAGCATACAATTAACGATTCTTGATTAAAATTGCTTGATATGGATAGCAAAAACGGCCGGGTAATCTGTATTGTGCTTTTGAGCCGACCTTGGATTGGCTTTGCTCTCCTCACAAAATGCTGAGAGCCTGGGGCAAGAGTTTGTCTATTGAGTCTATTTTCAGGCCGTTTTCTAGGAAAAATCAATGCTTTGTTCAAACCGCGAAGTGAACTCTCGTCTTTGAAGTGCTGTAACTGAAATCCAATCGATCCAACCGTTGACATGCTACGAGCCGCCAGCAAAACTTGGCTTTACTTCCCAGCACTTCAAACGAAACTCTGGTGAATTTGAAAAGCAACATCACTATACAAACAGCTTAGCAGAAGGAAGTCAACCATTAAAACCAAGGAAACGTATCTAGAAAGGCTAAATAATAAAACTATGATTATACTTTACTCGTAAACCGGTAAACAGTATTCTGTCAGTAAAGATAAATCTCGGAAATCGGATCGTGAGCTCAAACCGGAAGTATTCAAATTGATGCACAATTGTGTTTTCACTGCTACAATCCAGAAAAGGCATACGTTATTGTTCATAGATTGCGAGATGATATAATCAAGTACTGAATTGATAAAGATCATTGAGGTTTTCAAAATTGTCTGCGGCTTCCTTCCACATAACACAAGTTTCTTGTATTCCGGTGAAAACAGATATATCTGAACGACATACGTTTTGGACTGAACAGGTTAGCTGGTTACGTAAGCGGCATATTTCTTTCGCCGTTGTGTTCCACGTTTAATTTGTGTCAGTCGTTCGCAGCAATCACTTTAGAGAGTTCAAAACCACAAGAGATCTTTATGACACTCTCACCCTAAACCACAGCTGTTACAGTTGAAATTTCAACAGTAAACACCCCTGCCATTGACTTTTACTTTACTTATTCCACTTACCTTCTGCAGACGTTGGCCGCGAAGCACTTAGAATTAAGACAATGCAGACAGTTAAATGCCAATTCATCGTGAAAGTTACTCGATCCAAAACGTCCCTTTGCTAGCTTTACTGATAATTTCTCTCAGTGCAACGATCGATAGAGAGCACGAACGTGAACGTGGAGCGCTTTTATTGGATGTGTTCAGTAAACAATACACGAAACTGAAAGTCTGGATGGGGTTTACCCCTTTTAATATTGTTTTGTTCTGGCTTCACGGGCGAACTATTTATAGTGCTGATACTATTGTTATTCAATGTAAACGTGTTCAAAGCGGACAAACAAAGTGCTGAACATAAACTGTTACCGGTTATGGATAAATCGACCGACACGAACACAAAAAGAAAATACAATCATAAATATTGAAAGTTTTGAGGACGTGAGTGATATTCTAGGCTATGTTGAAAAGACGTAGTCTCCGCCAAATGCAAAACATTCCTTTCCGAGTTGTACTGTAGTCATGGCATGTAACCATGGCAATCACAATTTAGTGACAGTTGAGAAAAAGGTTGAAAATTTAACTGAACAGATCTAGAGAGATCGTCGAATGTGTACTGAACTGATAACTGAGTTTGCCAGCAACCCCATCCGAATCCAGACTAACTTAAACTGGCAAAAGTAAATCAAACCAGCTGAAATAACGCAGCAGCATTTTGTGGCAACATCCGTCCAAGTGATGAACGGCAACACACCAAGTAATAAAAAGCAAATAACAACAACAACAACAACAACAACAACAACAAGAAAAACAAAAAACAACAAAAAAAACTTAACATTTGACCTGTGCAATATGCAATGTGACGTGAAACCAAACAGGAAGGAATATACTGTATGTGAATCGGTACCAGAGTTTTGGTAGCTACTGCAACATTTGAAGCTGGCGCTAGGGGGCTGGTCTGTGTCACAATCATGCAGGAGACGAGGACTGAGCTTGACTTTACCGAAAATTTTCGAAACATTTGTGAGCAGGGTTTGTGGTGACAAGAACACATATTCACCTCCAAACGAAGTAAAAAGCTTATAAAGGTTGTGTTTAAGTACAGCGATACAGAAGAACTCGGTTTCCCCTGACGTCGTCGAGCCTCTCTGCCATGATTTTGAGGCAACTTGTTCCCACCCATCCTAAATGGTGTCAGTTTTCCATACCCCAATAACGACTAGACTGTTGTCAAGTTAAGGCACACACCCCTCCCCCCTTGGGATCTTTAACGAGTAAATTGCCCTTGGTAAGTACATTAGTTTCATTCCTAAGTCATATTTTCATAACGTGCGTTATGAGAAGATATCCTGTCCTAATGTACACAAGGAATTACTCGGGAAATAAATATTCAGGAGACGTTCCGGTTGGTTGACTAGAATCAATAGGCAGGTGTCGAGTATGTTTATTTAAATTCACGTATTACCTTTCTTTCAAGCTCTACTGTGTAGCTACTTGTTTCTTAAAATTTCACCGGGTCAGCGAATTTCACAGGAGTAGAATTAAAGAGTAGCTGCACACCGTTTCTTAACCCTAAATCTCGTGTGAAAAGTGAAACACAGCCATGGCGATTCTTTGTTGACGTACTGTCAAATACAACTGAGCGTGACAGAGGGTGGGTTCGAATGTGGTTTCAACTTTTCTTTTTTATTTTATACTTGACTAGTAGTTTAATATAGGTTTATAAATTAGTTTCTTGAGTGTTCACAGAAGACGTTATACCTAACGCATTGCGAAACTACCTTGATACGGGTTGAATAGGAATCAGGCATTGTAATGTAATAGGAGGATTTATATTGAAACCTGGCGAAATCCGAAAAATTTATAAAACCCCAGCTTCTTACCACCAAGTTTGACTATTTTTGAGGCAAACCTTTCGGACAATGTTACTTACTCTAAAATTTCTTATTACAGGATTAGATATGCGATGGAAGCTGAACTACTTCAAAGGACACAGTTTTAATCAAGCAAGCGTGCTACTTGGCACGCACTGCTCCAGGTTGTTTACACGAGCCCGTGACCATGACGTCACGTTTTGCTCAGAGTGTACTCAGTATAGCGTGACGTTACCAAATTTATTCACTCCTATCCACCGAGCGATTCGAAATTATAACTCATTGGACTGTTCCAGTAGCACCCTTTGCAACCGGTACCGTGCTTTTTCCATGGTAAGTAAGACTAGACGTTAAAGAAATGCGGGCTGTTAGTTACAGACGGTTAATTAAACCGAATCTGCGTCCAAAGACGTCTTTGTACCGATCGATTGTTTGTGCGTCGACATTGTGCAATTGCGGCTTTCGTTTGTTTTCTGTTGCTGGTCTTCTTTAACGGGATTCTGATATTATTTAACGCGATAGTACAATAAGTGAATTGAGAGTTGCAATATTGTACTTGTAAATAATGAATTATTGTGAGCATTTATGAGTGTTAATTTCCTCCAGACAAATTACTAGCTATTAGCAATAGAGTTAACAGCTATTCGTCTCAGTGCAGAAAAATTCCCTAACGTCGTTGTCCGACTCTCCAACCATTTGTTCGAGATTGGTATCCGGTTAAGTCCTAACTTATCACTGCTCCAGTACTACTGAATTTGACCGTCTTCACATTTAGAAGACGGGTACACTTCTAATCATGCATCAAAATGAGCTTGCGTGCGTTCGTCGATCTGAAAAAAGCTGTACATGTGTAAAGTGTTTGGAATGAGTGATGTATTGTTACACTGATCGGCGTAGGATGTTTACTTAATTAGTTTTTTTTCAGACAAACCAGATCTAGATAGCTAAGTTGATTAACATAGGTTAGTACAATATACTGAACTTTTTTCCACGAGTAAACTTTCAAATCAAAGTCATGGTCGATTATTTAAAGCTATTTTGCATGTAAATTATTCCCTAATTACACGGTGCTTAAAGACAAGAGGGCCTGAATTATGGGAATAGTGCCGTAAAGCATAACCCTTTTATAAACTTTAGACTATTAATCTCAAGGTCAAACACCACACCCTTTTTCGATCAAAACAGGAAAAAGAAAACAAAACACCTCAGGGGTCTATTGCTGCCTAATAATCAGGTCATGGGTCTAGCTAGGAGTACTGGAATCTAGTTAAACACTCGGCGATCATTCAGCTATCAGTTAAAAATTCAGCCCTTTTCTCAACTATAAGTAAATTTTGGAGATCTCGGATCTCAGGCACTATTTAAAAATATGTCATTTTCAACTATAAGTAAATTTTGGAGGTCTCAGATCTCAGGTACCATTTTGAAATATGTCATTTCTTAGCTGTCCGCCAAGATCTTGAAAAATTCTTAGCTCAGTATTTGTAGAATCCACAATATTAAGAATTGTGGGTAAACTTCTCTTTCCCAGGAAATGAGTTCCGACACCATTAAGCTGTTGATCTGTGGAAGTGGTAATGGAGCGCACGCATTTGCCGGTATCGCGTCATCTTTGAAAGGAACTGAAGTTCGAGTGCTTAGTTTGTATCAAGATGAAGCAGAGCGCTGGAGTGCTGCAATGCAGAAGACAGACCTGAAAGTTATCCTACATCGGAAGGGAAAGGAGCCAACTTCCATTTTGTCCAAACCTGCACTGGTAACAAAAGACCCAGAGGATGCCATCCGAGATGTTGACATCGTGGTCTTTGTTCTGCCAGCATTTGCCCATCAAGTTTTCCTTGATACCTTAAAGCCTTACATAAAACCTGGCACAATATTGGTCGGCCTACCAGGGGAACCAGGCCTTGACTTCCAAATTCGTCACGTGCTAGGCGAAACAGCGCAGCAATGCACGATCATGAATTTTGAGTCGTTACCATGGGCATGCCGCACCACTGAGTTTGGTGTTAAATGCGAGGTTCTTGGCACCAAGGAAACTCTACAAGGAGCCATGAAGGTAAAATAAGAAACTGACGCAATATTCTACAGGACCCAGTAACAAGGTTTAGGAATATTAAATCATTTTAGATACAACCTTTGAATAGTAAAAATGATATATAATGGATGAAATAAAGCAATTCAGGTATGTTTAACGGATCTCTTGCGGTGGCCTGATGTTTAGAGGAGATCGTTTGTTGTTTCCTAAGGCACGTCTGTTCTACCTATAGTGGCATTCTCCATGGATAACTAGTCACAGGAATTTTCACTTTGGTGCTACAATCACTGTGGTCAGTTCAGGGGGGTAACCTGTGCGGTCTACTACCTGTGCGGAGTTTCCATACAGATTTCTGTTTCACGTGTGAAACTGGTCAGCAGACTTAATTTATTGCTTTGATATGGCATGTACTCTTGTTCTGAGTTAAGAATCTATAATTACGGTTGTTTTGTATGAGTTAATGCAGTGGCTTGCCGTACTGTGCCAGGTTGTTTAGTTGCGCATTCTCACATGATTTTGCCTGGAGCCGTCCGCCTGAAAAACTGCCTGAAGAGCAACTTTGTCTTGCAGAAAGGAGATGTGCCATCTAAGAAAGAACCAGTCTCTACACTGCAATATCTCCTTGGACCCCTCCCTAAACTGATCGTCTCCGGTCACCTACTAGGCGTTCAGTTGATGAGCGTTAACGCCTACCTGCACACGTCAATAGTGTACGGTCAGTGGGAAGGGTGGGACGGCAACCCAGTTGATGAGGCTCCTCTGTTCTATCATGGTGTGAGTGAGTCAACTGCCAAACTTACGTCCACTGTTTCAGATGAGGTACTAGACATTGCCAAGGCTATCGAGAAGAGGTCCGGAGCTGACATGTCTGGTGTAAGTTGAACATTACCAATTTTTTTTTTAATTAACTTGCTGCTACTGCCTGTAGCAAATGAACTGAGTGGCTTCCTGTTTAGCTGTGTTAGTGAGATCAGGAATGATCTTAAGTTTTTAGGTTAGAGGGTAGGTAAAGTCCCTCGCGTGGGTCAGTACCTATTTGCCAAGCCTGAAGCGATCAGCAAGCTACAGTTGTACTTGCAGCCTGCAGGGTTTTGTCTTGGAAAAGGAGAAGGCGCCAGCCTCCGTAGGAAAAAACAGCGCCTTGCATTGTATTTGGTTATATGTCTAAGTTGTTGGATCAAGACAGAATAATCCTTGTGCTTCAGTGTTTTTTGCTTGGGCAGTCTTCATGACTTCTATTTTAATGCCTTTGGAAACTGATCATTTAGTTTCAATTTGTATTTATAATCATCTGGGCCTTTTGTAATACTGAAAGAAGCCTTGTTGTTATAGGTTGTCCACTTGTATCAGTGGTACATGCGCTGCTATCCTGAAGATATCACCGACAAGACCAACTTTTACACCGCAATACGGAGCAACGCTGCCTACGAAGGGCTAAAACATCCTGTCAAGGCAACCGAAGATGGCAAGTTTCTGCCGAATTTCGCGTACCGTTACACGATGGAGGATATCCCTTATGGTTTGGCTGTCATCAAGGGTATTGCATAGATTGTTAAAGTTGAAACGCCGAATATTGACAAGGTGCTTATATGGTGTCAGGAGAAAATGGGCAAAGAATATCTCGTGAACTCAAAGTTTCAAGGCAAAGATATCGCTTCATCCAGAGCACCGCAGAGATATGGATTCACCACTCTGGAATCCATCTTGTAAAACCTTCCGATACGTCAGTATATGAAGAAAAGGAAAACATTACATAACTACGTAATATATGTAAACAGTAACTGTTCTTTTTTACTGCGAAAGTTTTTCCCGTAACGGAAAAATTTGGACGTCTCATAAACTGGGAGTTTTTAATTATAGTAAACTCTTTAGCTATAGTTCTTCAAAATCAGCAATACATTCCGACGATTAATGGGGTTGGTCAGCGATTAAATAGACTAAATTACCAATGGCTTCCCACTAGGTTGTGTCAGTGAGTAGTGTATCCATAAGCTGAAAGGTTGCACGGTAGATGCATGTAAATTACTCGATCACGGAAGGTTATAATAGTTGCCTTGGAGCTTGCATTTGTCAGCCATTTAGGACCAGCGTTGGGGTGCCGTATCGTCCCCAGCAGTCAGCTATAACAAAGAAAACTGAGACGAGCGGGATGCAGCACTGAATGGGGTAAAGAAGTCTCTCGTCCTAATTTCCTTCCCACGTTAATCATGAAACGTTATTCTAACAGTATTTTCTAGCAAAAAGTGTCTGGGGACGAGTCCGTGACTGCACGCTAGCAAAAGTTCAGTTGCAAGAATCGGTGTAACATATAGTTTAGAGTTCGCTTATGTGTTTTGGCAGAAATGTTTTATTGGCTCACTGTGTTCCTCATACCTTTCTTCTTTAACACTTAAGTTGGTATATAACTGAACTGAACGACTTTAATCCGCATTTAATAATGGCGACAAGATGACGCCGAAACGTCATGTTATAACGTTCAGTTTTTCCTTTTAAAATTTTAAATTTAGGACTGTGACTTAAATTAGAAATAAAGAACCACAACATTGTGCCCATATAGTCACTAAAATTCATGAATATTCTCTTTCCGTTTTAACTGCGGCAACATAATCATGGAAAACGTGGAAGTCTGTGAATCATGAAATTCTACTGCAGGTAGATTGCCAGTGTCCGTAACGCGAGAATAGGTGTAAGTTGTGTGTCACTCGTTTGTCTTAAACGAGCTAAACTTAGAGAAAGCGCAGGAGCTTCTTGTCGGAATGAATAAAACTGTTAAGCGGACGGCGACCCGAATCCAGAAATCAAAGAAAACAAGTTCTTCAAATACGCAAAAATTACTTTGCATAGCTTTAGCCAGATCGCTAGATACTGAACAAGTTAAGATAGGAAATGTCATAGAGAACAGGGTCTTCGTCAGTGGCAGCTACCTGTACAATGACAGCCACGCCCCCACTTTCGATGTCCAAAGGCTAACCTGACTCGTCTAAATAAATTTTTTTCCCCAACAGATACGAGACTAATTCCAGATCAACACTATTTTCACACCGATACTGTAACAAATCACCGCTACATATTCTTGTTGGTCATCATATTTTAAAAAAGATTTATAGAAATGTTGCACACTTACTTCCGTCTGCTTCTCGCTTGCGAACGGATCGGACCACATGTTGTTAAAAGGTGCTAAAAGACTGCCAGAAACTCACCTCAATAGCTTGCTGCTATTGTGCTACTCACCAGTTTCTCAGAGCAATTTGATCTAGACAAGAACCGCGCTCTCACCAGGGCCAGGTTGAACAAAAGATGGGTAACTTAGCCTTCGAGCAGGCTAAGTTACCCATCTCGCTAACATGCCAAAGCAAGAAGCAAGAAAGCAGCGCTTGAGGGGGAAACCCAGACACTAGAGCCTGCAGGGAACAGGGAATCCACTTTAA